TCTGAATACTTTCCGTATCCACTGTATATGTATATATATATATATATATATAGACTAATATTTCATATGTCAGGCTTAACAGGGTTAAAGTAGGACAAAAAGCTGCCCATATCTTTTGTTTTTGACATCAAAGTGATAAGAGTCCAATCAAAATCTATTATTTTGGTGCAAATTAACCTCTAACTTGCTAGAAGCCAGACAGTTTGACAGATTACAACATGAAACTGTGCTCAACCTCAAAAGCATCAACGGATTTATGCAATATATAAAAGAAAACACAACCCATATGCAATAGCAAAAGCAGCTGAAGCATACTAAACCAACAAGACTTTTTCCTCTTTCTGCAGTTGTGCTGTTAGTGTGTGTAAGAGCAGCTGTGAGTGTGTGTGGGACGGGTGGGAGGTAGAGAGCTCTTCACCAATGTGTACACTAATATTGTGCTCTCCTGGCATACGGGCGAGAGAGAGAGAGAGAGAGTGTGTGAGTTCTTCCTCGCATGACCCGGTCACCCCGGTAACCCAGCGCTTCCAGTATGGCCAGCTGGTGAACGTTGAGCGACTCGCACACTTCAAACCAGCGCCAGAGTTTACTTTAACTCCCACCAGAAACACAGAGGAAGAGCGACGGCGTGTCAGAGTGGGGGAGGAACGTAGCAGATTATTTTTTAACTCTACTAACTCTGGTGAGAGGGAAAAAAAGGAGTGTAAATGGACACATTACTACTAGGCAGAAATATTGACAATATCGGAGTATTTAGAATGGTTCACGTGTATCATTTATTGTATATATGCTGATTAAATAAAAAACTTTTATATATAAATAAAAAATTGTTACTAGAAATGAAATTATAAGTGTTCCATTAAAAATAAGTGTTAATTGAAAAAAGAAAAATTCTAACAAATATAATGTATTTTATTTCAGCTAGTTTCAGCTATCATTTCTCACTTTCTTTTAGTTTATCTCAAAGTACTTAAAAACTATTAGGTCATATTAAAAAATAGTAACAATAAATCAAATATAACTAACATAATGTAAAGCATGCCATCTCCTTTATTGTAATAATGTCACAAAAACAATTTCAGGTCATATTTCACACTAAAATAAAATGAAATTAAATAAAAAATTAAATAAAAAAATCTGTGCATTAAAAAATAACCTTATATTAAGATTAGTTCATTTAGTTAGTTTGTTGCATGCGAGATTCATCCTGTAAACAGTGTAAATAAATGTAATACAGGCCTCCAATAGGGCTATGATGAAAACACGGAGCCTCCAGTGAAACTCTGAAATAGTGGCTATTAGCTCTTCACATAGCAAACAAGCTTAAGCTTGTGTGGGAGGCGCAAGATCAGAAAGAGAGCGGCCGACCTCACTGCAAGATCCTTCTCAACAGAGGACAAGAGAAGGGGGAGGAGATAGAGAAAGTCCATCTGAACTACAGAAATCAAGCACAGGTCAGCTGAGTCAGTGAGGACACAGAGGCCGGCCGCTGACCCGGGAGAGTAAAGCCTGAGAGTCCAGCGGCGGATCTTAAACTCCCACTCTGTCTTTCCTTAAAGGGATAGTTCACCCAAAAATCAACATTCGCTCATCATTTATTCTACAAATCTGCATGACTTATGAAGATGTTTTGAAAAACCCCAAACTACACAGACCCAATTGATTTCCATTGTGCAAAATAATAGTAATAATAATAATATAAATTTTTTTTAATCTGAAATAAAGTACTAAAAAAAACTACTTTATTTCAGCTTTCATGGTTTTTAACTAAAATTAAAACTATTAAAAAAAAATAAAAAATTTCAAGCACAGGTCAGCTGAGTCAGTGAGGACACAGAGGCCGGCCGCTGACCCGGGAGAGTAAAGCCTGAGAGTCCAGCGGCGGATCTTAAACTCCCACTCTGTCTTTCCTTAAAGGGATAGTTCACCCAAAAATCAACATTCGCTCATCATTTATTCTACAAATCTGCATGACTTATGAAGATGTTTTGAAAAACCCCAAACTACACAGACCCAATTGATTTCCATTGTGCAAAATAATAGTAATAATAATAATATAAATTTTTTTTAATCTGAAATAAAGTACTAAAAAAAAACTACTTTATTTCAGCTTTCATGGTTTTTAACTAAAATTAAAACTATTAAAAAAAATAAAAAATTTCCTTGCCTGAAATAAAATAAAGTACTAAACTATTTTATTTCAGCTTTCATTGTTAACTAAAATTAAAATTATTTAAAAAAAACAAACATTTTCCTTAGTTACAGCTCAGCTGTGCTCCTCAAACAAAGACGAGGTGCTTTTCGGATAAAATCACAAACTCAAATCAAACTGAAGGCTAAACGCTGAATAGTTCTGGTTGTCCATCGCGTCACTGAATGATTCTGATGATGATTCAGCTCAATTCTTCCAGCATGGCTATTATGAAAAGAACTGGACGGCCTTCAGAACTTTTGCTCTATTATCTGCAATTCAACACGGCCTCAAAATCAACACATTTCACATTACAGAGTGGAAAAAAACCTTTCTGCAATTAAACGAGCAAGAACACGATTAGCAGATGATAAAACATGAAGAGAGAGCCACAACATTACATTCTGAATTTGAAGTTCACCCAAAATTGAAAATTTGCTAAAACATTTACTCACCCTCAGGCCATCCAAGATGAGGATTAATTTTTGTTTCTTTATCAGATTTGGAGAAATGTAGCATTCTATCACTTGCTCACCAATTGATCCTGTGCAGTGAATGGGTGCCGTCAGAATGAGAGTCCAAACAGCTGATAAAAACATCACAATAATCCACAAGTAATCCACACCACTCCTGTCCATCAGTTAACGTCTTGAGAAGACTGTTGCTTATAACTAAAATAATGTTTCCTCCAGTGAAAAGTCAAGCTCCTGTTGTCTCTCACATCAGAATCCACCACATATTTGTTTAGAGCTGTGTTGGCTTGTAAACAGTGCTTGATCTGTGCAGATTTCTCTCCTGATTCAGACCAGCAACTTTTTCATTGGAGGAAGCAATATTATGGATAAAAGACTTGTTTGACCTTAAAAACATCTTAATGATGGATTTGTCCCTTATAAATACGCAGCTTTCAGCTTCACAAGATGTTAACTGATGGACAGGAGTGGTGTGGATTACTTGTGGGTTAGTGTGATGTTTTTATCAGCTGTTTGGACTCTCATTCTGACGGCACCCATTCACTGCAGAGCATCCATTGGTGAACAAGTGATGGAATGCTAACTTTCTCTAAATCTTTTCTAGTTGAAGATACATATAGACACCTTGCTTTCATTTTGGGTGAGCTATTTAAATGCTTTTTTGTAATCTACTTGCAATTTCTAAGTGAAAAGTGATTCTGCACCATTTATTTTCAGTGTGCTTAAAAGAACAGAAACCCAACAACTGGAACAAGCCCTAAAGTTTTAAATGCACAAATAAAAGCAAACCACACAATATGAGCACAGCAAACTGCATGACGTTGAGGATTTGGCATAAATGTATACTTGTATTAATGCAGACAACTTAATGCATTCAAAGCATCTTTTCGCTGATAAGAGTACATGGCGCAAAGTGTGTCAGAGAAACCATCAAATGCAATAACAGGAAACCATAAAGGCAGCTCTGCTGAGTCACTGGGCAAACAGGAGCAACACAGTCACCCTGTCAGCACACACACAGATTTGAGGGAGCATGTGTGTAAACAGACCTGTCTTTACTCTGCTTTTTCCACCTGGATCCTGACATACATCAGCACGACTCGAGGCAGCGTCAGTGCCTTCTGCCAAAGCTTTATCCTATGGGTGGTGATGCTCTCGTCATCACACCCACAGCTCCTTCACTTTGTGCAATCATGACTGTGTCTACTGCCTTGATTTAGGTGTGGTGACCTACAGTGCACCACACCCATTAGAAAAGGGCCTGATGTGTCCTCCGTTGAGTGGAATATCTCCAGTTCTGAACTTTAAAGCGAATCAATACCTACTCCTACACATGCATGGGTCGACTCTATCGCCAAATAACCCACCAGACAATGGGAATCTGCTGCTGATATCTGTTCAACATTCAATCACACAGAAAAAGTGAAGGACACACAAGCGCTGCAGCACTGCTGACCGCTGCTTCCCAGAAACGACACATTGTCAGGCTTCAGGCGAGGATCTCGGAAACACACAAGCCTCGAGGAGCTCGGAGGATCAATGCTGCTGATGAGCGTTATGAATTACGACATGTTAGTTATGATACGTGCTGTATTTACAGTCAAATTAAGCATGCACTGCCTTGTTTACATATCCAAAATATTGATTAAATGTGAATAAAGGACGCAAATATCAGTAAATGTGAATGGAGGGACTCAGTTAAGCTGTGTCAGTGATCATAATCAGGTTTATTCATTAATAATCATATTCTTGAGGACCCTCTGAAAGTCAAACTAGAATTGTGTTTATATTTAAAAATCTGAAATGCCACAAAACGTTACTTTAATATAATTATAGTTAACAAGCATGGTAAACCAATCCATCAGACCAGTGCTATTTGCCATAAAATCACCTTTAAATGCATTTTAATGCATTACAATTAATTGTTTTATTTTCACACAGTATTAAATCCTCATCACTTATCAGGATAAATACACAAACTAATTTAACGTAGCACATCATATTTGTAAGCTTTTATCAGGATGTTTTTTATTGACTATTTTAACTGAACACACACACACACACACACTCACACTCACATCAAAGACGTTTGAACACACCGATGTCATACTTTATTACGTCAGAGGAAAAACAACTTTTAAACTCCGTGTTTGCACCACAATAACATACCAAACGAAGAAAATATGACAATGAAACCCAACGTCTTCGCTGATTTTGATTAACTTGTATAATAAGTTTGCGAAGCTGCTATGCTAATTACCTAGCCAGCTAACGTTAACAACTAATCACAGCAGAAGAGATTTGATTTATAAAATATGAGGTAAATGAGTACTTACTATAGTCATATCTCCACTGGCTGAGTTTAATAAGTGGCCAATTGTGCAGATGAGCGCAGTAAGTGAGTGTTTTTCCAGTCAGATGTGTGAAATCTCTTCACAGGACTCATCGCTCGTATCGAACTCCCTCACAGACACCAAAAACAGCCAAACTTTTCCATCTATCCATGTCTCGCAATCCAGAAATCGGGGAGAAAGGTGGGAAAACGCTTTGAAATGTTATTCCGATGCTGATTGCGAAGTCTGATCAGTTTTCGCAGCGCTTTCTATGGAAATAAATGTGGTATTTTGGTGGAGCAACAGCATAAAGTGGAGGCGCTCGAGCAGAATCACTGTAAGCTCGCGCAGCTCCGCTCTCACTCTCCTCAGGCCCGAGAGAGAAAGAGAGAAAGAGCTGCCCATTACTACTGCATCCGGGTCGCGTGTGTGTACTGTATGTGTATGAAAAACTATAGAAACCCCGCTTAAAACTCATGAGGAATGTAGATGATTCAAAAAAACATCCTACTGTAAATATTATTCTGTACCCGGAAAATAAAAAGAAAGTTACTTTCTGAAATACTAAAGCCAAGTAAATTGTTTTAACTTTATAAAGGTATCCTGAAATTCTCTATATATGTTTTTGCATCAAAATAAATAAATCATCTTTTTAATATAAGATAATTTATTGTCACGATACATTATGTGAGATACTAAATACTGTCTGTGGCTTGAAATATCTTCCTTAATCTTAAAGTTTTTACCCCTTAAAGCTATTGTTACCTTGATCAAGTATTACTTTGGTGGTGGTGGGGGGATAATATTTTAGTATTTATTGTCAACACGGTAAATATTAAAGAGGTTGTCCAATGTTGTGTTTGTGCTTTAGCAGCCTCTAGTGGAGGCAAAAACTTTTTTAAAGCATTTATTTATTTATTTGATTTTAAACCGTTATATATTAAATATTTTGTTAAATTGTAAATAATAAATTCTTTTTTTAAAATTATATTTATTAAAAAATTATATTATACATATATATCTGATATTTCATAATGGGCTTTAAGGGATAATATTTAGTAAAGCTGCTTGAAACTAAATATTTTAATTTAAAAAAATGTTTAAATAAATCGGGACAGTAATCAGACAATATTTGTAAAAAAATAAAATAAAAATAAAAGTTTTATTCATACAAAACAAGTCAGTGAGAACTACAAAGGTTTGTATTTGCACATATTTTGATGATCTGGACAACAACCAGAAATGTGAATTGATCAGTCCCACTAAATCCCGCGTGTTTGTGTTCACCGTCCCGCTACAGGACAGCCGTCTGATGATGCTGAAGTCCTCAGTGATCCTTCATCTGGTCCTCCTCCTCCAGTCTGCGTATCTCTCCCTTCAGGAAGTTGATGTTTTCTCTGGAGGCTTTCAGTCGCTCCTTCAGCTCTGAGATCTCCAGGCTCGTCTTCTTCTTCGCCGCTTCCAATTTTCTCGTGTTCTTAACTCCAGCTCTGCAACTGAATGATTAGTTTGCATGATTAGAACTGCTGTGACTCTCGTATCTATAAAGTATGCTGTCTGATTCACAGTATTTTCACATCTGTTTGAATTCGCACCATCTCGTCGTAGAACTCGGACACGACGGTCTTCTTCGGCATGGCGCTGGAGTCTGACTGGAAGAGCTTCAGCAGATGATACAGCGTGACCTGAAGACAAAAACACCACAACATCAAAACGTTGACTAATGCGGAGGGTTTCAGACTGCTGCTATTCAATTTATGCGTAACTGTATAGCGCTTTTACAATACAGTGCCATGGAAATGTTTCGAGAAAAACTGTACTAATAATAGAAATGTACTATAAAAAATTATTCATTTGGTTTAAATAAATGTAATACATTTTTATTTAAATAACATCTAACAGTTCAGTACTATACCGTGTAAAACACAGTAATGTAACGTAATATAATAACTAAATATTTTCATAATTTAAAGCAATAAAAACTAAATATGTTATGTTGCATTTTTTATTTATTACAAATAAATTATTTATTTTTACATATTATTTATTATATTTGCCACAGTTTTAACAGGGTCTTTATACGTTAAAATAGTACATAGCCACCTTTTACATTTTTGGACGGGTCCAATGAGGATGATCATGTTTGGGGGTCTGTAGCATCCAAAAGATTAAAAATCCTGCAATAATTTACACACAGAAAAAAAGTAATTTAATGCCATTTACCGGTCTCTCATTTGGATCGATGAAGAAGACCTTTATGATGATCTCAAACTCTCCCCATCCAGTCTCAGTAATCTCATACGGAGGCTTCGTACCCACTTAAATAATAAAATAAAATAAGTGAGTTAAATTTTTGATATTACACTATAATATTAGAAGATAAATTGCACACCTCTTAAAGGGTTCCCGTAACTTTCATGCAGTTTGAATTGTATTTTTTTGACATAAGCAGACATATCCTGGGAATATCAGTGGGAAAATAACAACAACAAAAAAAACAGCACTTTGTTAGTATACTACATATTAAATTTAGCATTCATATGCAACACTTATAATGAAATAAGAGTCAACCTCATTTCTGTAAGGCTTCACATAAACTGTCCACTGATGAGTGTGGACCATCGTCTTCTCTTTTCTTGCCAAAATATCGTGCAACGTTTCCAAACACGATAGGTTTCACGACAGTCACTCCCTGGATTATAATAAACGCATAAATCAACGATCAACCCTGTTATTGTAAATGAACATCAGCATTAGCATCATGATCGCTAACGTTTACCTACCTTCCTTCACCCGACCCCCCGAATCTGGGCCAAATTCAGCCATCCTCTTAAACATAGTACACAGAGAGTCAAGTGTTTTACTCGGATTGGCTTCTACGAAATGAGTACAGTTTGGACCTGAACTGAATTACTGTTCGGAACTGCCATTAAGCACAAAATAACATGTTTCTCTATGAAGAAAGCCTCTGTATGTAGAGCTCATAGGATTCCGTTTTCGGTTGCGAGTCAAATTTCAAATTAAGAGTCCTAACAAACGTTTGCTTGGAAAATGTGTTTCTATTCTGAAACAGTGGGCTATAATGTCATTATTGGGCTATGATAACATAATTATAATTTAATCTAGTTAACTAACAGGTATAAAAAGCATGATTAAAAGAAAAAAAATTATAATACCCAGCAAATGATTTTGACTGGGACAGATTAAAAAAAATTAAAATAATTTAAAGGAAACATAATTAAAGCTACTATTATTAATGTATAAAGAAACTATTAATATAAAGACAATAAAGTGAATCTTAGCACAACGTGACAGGTGAGGGAAAGAACACACTTCAAAATTCCGCTTTATTTTGAAATTGCGTAAAGCCCATCAGCACGTCGTCGGTTTTTTTGGGCGGGAGTTTCTGGCTTCACGTATCGACGTCTCTTCTTCACGCGCAGCGCGAGCACCGAGGAGGAGGGAAACAGAAAATGGCGGACGGTGTCGACCACATCGATATTTACGCCGATGTAGAAGAGGAATTTAATCAGGTCAGGTTCACTTTGAGCATCTACACTTGCTTAATAATAAATATTTTACGTGTTGCACGTGCAGATTGAAAAGAAGCCCACAGAAACATGCAGCGCTTTCTGGGGATTTACTAAGGCGTCTGCTAACTCTAGCAGCTAGCTAGTTAGCGAGCAGCAGCGTCTGTGTACATGGTAATATAAAGGTTAACTCCGTTACATATCTTATTTGTTGTTGGGTATCTATATAATAGTTGTATATTACGTTACTATTTGTATTTGTGGCGCGAGTCGGAATCCGTTGCGTCGCGAGCGTTCATTGTTTGTTCTCGTGCACCTACAGCAGGCCGAGCGCGGCGCGCAGTATCGTTTAAACCAGACAGATCAATGTTTATGATTAATAAACCTGACATTTAACGTGTTCACGAAGTATCAAAGATTTGCTTGTAAGCTGATGCAAGTTTAACTTTTGCACAGACGCGACGCTGGGGCGTTCGTTTTAATAATATGCAAATTAGCTTTGGAAGCAGGAGTTCAAATCATACCATTAGGGAATCTTGATTGATTGCAAGACTTTTTGTTATTTAGAAATATGTGCATTTAAAGTGTGTCGATTTTGTGTGCTTTTAAATATTTCGAATGCATTTATACTTATTAATAAAGATACCATATTCTAAACATTTATTCTATAAATTGTTCTATGATGCTTATATAAGATTGCTGAATAATTGGTCGTATAGGTAACTAAAACCGTTAGAGAATTGATTGAACTTGAAATAAAATGAATGAAATTAATTATAAAAAATTACTTTCATTTAATGTAACGTGATGTTCTAAATAGGGCTGTGCGATATGGACAAAAAAAAAACTCGCGATTTCTTTGATAAATTTTGCGATTTCGATTTTAACACACACAGACATGCTTTACAGTCATTAATGCATTCAGTGTGAATTTGAAACATATTTCCAAAAGAAAACCAATTAGAGCTTTATCAAAAAGCTGTAACATGTCTCTAGAACAGAATGGCAAAATCATCACTAAGTAAAGGAGTAACAAAATGTGTCTAGAATAGACATATTTGGCAGAAAGAAAGAAAAAGCTCGTGTCCAGGTCATAGAGGTCTTTGTGGCGTTGCCTCAGATGTTGAACTAGATTTGTTGCACCAAGT